AAGAAGGGTACGGATAGGAGCGGTGAACAGGGTAGAGGACTGGAGGAAGTCGCTACAAACGGAGTTTAGAGATATTTTCTTCAGGGAAGGCGAGGTATTGGGGGTAACGGGGAGGACGGTGCATGAAATCCCACTGAAACAAGATAGGGTAACCTACGTGAAGGAAAGGAGATACCCGCAGGCGCTGAGGCAGCATATTCGGGAGGAATTAGACAGCCTAAAGGAGCAAGGGATCATCGTCGATAGTACCTCACCCTTTAATAGTCCCCTGTGGGCGGTGAAAAAGAAAGCAGTGCCGGGGGATAACAAAGAAAGATATAGGGTAGTAATAGACTATCGGAAATTAAATGACAATACTTTGGATGAGAAGTACCCGATCCCCAGATTCGAAGATATACTCGATAGGTTAAGTGGGGCAGTAGTATTTAGCACATTGGACCTCAAAGCGGGATATCACCAAATACGAATGCACCCAGAGGATCAACATAAGACGGCGTTTACGTTCGAAAGGGGGCATTATGAGTTCACCAGAATGCCGTTTGGTCTGAAGAACGCGCCCATAACGTTTCAACGTCTGATGGACGAGTTTTTGAGGGGTATCGATGACGCGGTATGTCAAGTGTACATGGACGACCTGCTCATCTTCAGCAAAACGGAAGCCGAACACGTGGGGCATCTGAGATCAGTTTTCGAAAGGCTGCGGCAATTCGGGCTGAAATTGTCGAGCGAGAAGTCCCTGCTGGGACAAACGCGAATTAATTTTTTAGGCCACACTATCTCTAGCGAGGGGGTTAGGCCGGATGCAGCAAAGGTGGAGGCAATCACACGGATGGCGGTACCACGGGACGTGAAAGGGATCCGGAGGCTTCTCGGGACGCTTAACTATTACCGGAGATTCGTGCCCGAGATGGCAGAGTATTTGGTCCCTATCAACAATCTGCTCAAGAAAGGTGCGAAGATTGCGGTGACACCGGAAATGGAGAACAATATCCGGAAATGCATGAGTAGGTTGCAGGCAGAGCCTGTATTGGCGTTCCCGGATTTTGAAAAGCTGTTCAACATAACCACTGACGCGAGCGAATATGCGTTGGGGGCCGTTTTGTCTCAGGGAAGTAGTGAGGGGGAACGTCCGATAGCATACGCAAGCCGTCGGCTTACGGGTGCGGAATCAAGGTACAGCGCTTTGGAGAGGGAGCTACTCGCGATAGTGTGGGCTATCGACCATTTCAGGCCATACGTGTTCGGGAGAAAATTTCGAGTCCATACCGACCACAAACCCCTTCAGTGGGTAGGAAAACTCAAGGAAACCTCAGCTAGGGTCACGAGATGGAAGGAGATCCTTAGCCAATACAACATAGAGGTGGTGTATAAGCCGGGAAAGGAAAACGTGGTGGCAGACTGGCTCTCTAGGGCCATCATGATCAACGCGGTTGAAGAGGATAGGGGAGGACCATCGCGGGACGTGCGTCAATTCTTGAGTGAATGGACTCCCGATGGCGAAGGGGCAAATGATACCGCAGGTATTGAGGACAGGGGAGAGTCCCCAGAAGAGGAGAGCTCAGCGGAGGAAAGGGCAGCGGAGATGAAGAATAGATGAGATCGTGAACGACAAACACCGTCAGGTGATTTGGAAGACACGAACAGCCGGAATCATGAAAATCGATTTCAGAAGGTATGGGAGAAGTAGGATCCGCGTCATTTGGTCGCAACCCGGAGTAAGCGAAGAACAAATCTGTACGGCACTGAGGGACGCCTCGGAAGCGGGTAAAACGCACTATCTATACGTGGGAAACAATACGGTATGGGATAAGATAAAGCGAATGTGGAGGTCCGAGCGAATAGGGGTGGACAGGACATTCATCCGGTGCAAGTATGCTGTTGAGACGGTACAAGACGAAGAGCAGCAGCAAGCAATCACAGTGGCATATCACCAGGGGAAAACCAATCACCGAGGCGTTAACGAGACGCTGCAGGCATTGCGTCGGAAGTATTTCTGGTGGGGCATGAAGAGGTCCATCCAGGAAGTCATTGGGAAATGCGAGATATGCATGCGCACAAAATACGATCGACACCCCCCCAGAGGAGTTCAGGAGGAGACACCTACAGGGAATATGCCGCTACAGGACCTCCAGATTGACACATTCACCTGGAAAGGGTTTAAGTGGGTCACGGTAATCGACATATTCAGCAAGGTGGCGATGGCACATCAAGTGATGGATAAGTCGGCCAATGCAGTTGCGGAAGCCCTACAAACCTGGGTGCAGTTCTATGGGGTCCCCGAGAGGATTACATCGGACGGTGGTAGGGAGTTCGACAATGCCGTGATTAGGGAGGAGGTGAAGCGATTGGAAATTGCGTGGCATTATAACACCCCAGGACATCCTAAAGGTAGAGGCGGTATCGAACGATTGCACAGCACATTAAGCGACCACGTCCGTGTATATCAGGGGGAAAAAGGGTTGGAGCCGGATGTGGCAATGAGGAAGGCGGTAACAGCCTATAACCACTCGATCCACTCCGTAACGGGATTTTCACCCATGGAAGTTCTATTCGGGATGCGCAGGCCAAGGCGGGATTATGGGGAAACTACGCTTACCGAACCGTTAGTGGATCAAATTCTCAGCAATAGGGTAGAGGTAGAGAAAACATGGGGAAAGATAACGGCGAGAATTAAGCGGGAAAAGCAGAAGCGGGTGGAAAGGCAGAATGTACAGGTACGCGACCAAATGGGGGAACTAAAAATAGGAACAATAGTTTACCGGAGATTGGGAACCAACAGAGGGAAACAATTGCTACGGTACGAGGGTCCATTCAGAGTGGTTGCTATTAGGGAGCATAACCTGTTAACTATTGAGAGCGTGAATGAGCCCAGAAAGAGGAGAACCGTTCATATCGAACAATTAAAGCTCTCAATGATAGAGCCGGACCATAGACCTACGGATTCGTAGTACCCTCACCGCTGTATATAAAAAAGAAAAATATGTTTTTTTTTTGTGCCTGTCAAAACAAAACAAATTGTGTAAATTTTTTTTTTTTTGGATTATTTCATGTAAATAGAATTATTAGCGATACTGTAGAGGAAATTGTATTTTTTTTTGTTTTGTGTGTAGGTTATTAAGAGTTCTCAAGTGTTGTGTTTAGTTTCGGTGTTTTTAATTTTTTTTTATTATTTTTCCAGTTGAGTGGAAGGGTTTTATTTTCTTTTAAGGATGTACTGTAAGAACAATTGTAAAGTGTTAAGGCTGGTCACCGTTGGCTCCGATCTAGGAATATTTAAGTTTCCGAAAATCCTGTTCGTAAACTGGTGGGGGGGAGATAAAGACCGGAGACTGGCGGTATCAGCCTTAATACTATCTGGTAATGTAAATAAACATGCTGAGTGTATATAAGGAGGCTTATGGAACGAATAAAGTAGTGTTATTTCAGAAGCCGTGTGTGTTGCATCTCTACCCCTTTTCCTTCTTTTTTTTTATTTTCCAAGTCCGACGACGCTTAACTGGTGCCGAAACCCGGGACAACGTCAGGGAAGTAATTTTCTATTGGCGGATGGTGGAGGTGTAGGGCCGTACGTCACCCGGATGAAAGAGCACTCGATACCGGTTCACTAAATCAGTGTAATCCTGATCGAATGGTCATTGCATTTTTCTTTAATTTTTACATAAAAACGCTAATCAACAGAGCGACTGTTGAAAATGAATTCAAAGTAACATTCACGTAATTTCTAGTGAGTCTCAACTCCTTTGTACAGAATTTTTCACCTGGCTATGGCATTTTTACAGTTAAACCACAGTTAAAACACATATTTTATGCTGTTAGTAAAAAGTTTAAACCCCATTCTATGTTTTACGAGCCACTTTTGTCAAGAAGATAATGGTAATACTTGTAGTAAATGTTTTTCAAACACTGAGTTATCCGCTCAAATTACCGGCCTAAACGTTCAGATCATTTATCTATAATTGAAAGTTACATTAGACTTATTATTATTTTTTTTACTGTTTGATATAGTTATTATCAATGTAAATTGTTTAATATATCATTTTCATTAAAATCTTGTATTAATTATGATATTAATAAAAAAATATAACATTGATAATATTCTCTATTATTTGTTCATAACAGAAAAAATAATAGAATCTATATTCATCACTAAACATATTAATAAAGCAATAAATTATAAATCTGATGTAGCTAAAATAGGGAGTCAGTAAGGTTATACAATAAACAAATTAAATATATAAAAATAAATAAGGCTTCTTGGATTTTGACCCTTGGTTCAAGGTTTGGTACAGTGCCTGACGAGTCCACAATGTAATTAAAGTAAATAAATTCATTACAGAACCTTGCTAATTACATAAAATTATAATATAACACATTCAATTATTGCAGTTTTAGGGATGATTTATGAAAATAAAAATTATGACAATTTTTTTTTTAAATTAGACGATAGAAGGATGAGATACGAGTAAGATTGACAAATCTGTTATACATGTTGTAAGTTCTAAAACTATTATAATGATAATATATAATTACAAATAACAAAAATGTTTTCTGGTCTGAAGATGGGATAATAATGTGATCACGAAACGTCATAAAAATGAAGACAAAATTGTTGAATGAGTAAAGCTGTTACTTAATTTTATTTTATATATCTCAGATGAATTCTCTATTATTTTGGTTTAGTTTTATTTTTTTAAATCTCTAGTCATTTTTAATATATTCTCTATCTCTATCTATCTTTGTAATGATTCATAGCCATTTTGTTTTCTCTAAAAACTGTATATTTCCGGTGGTTTAATTTTTTCTTGGATATCTCCAAAGAGAAAAAAATAGCCACATTTTAATCTTCATAAAGCCTATGATGATCATAATTAAAAAAAAAGAACAGAATAGCGAAAATCTGACAGTATTTACTATATTAAATGTAACTGAATTAGTACCTACACTCTTATTTATTGATGCCACAGTGCTTTTTTGAATGTAATATAAAATTGATAGCTTACCACATTAGACACCTGAAGGTTTTCGAGTTCTTTTTCTTCCTCTTTCATCAGATCAAAGGATGTCAGTGGGTCATTACACTTTACAGCAACCTATAAAATGAAAAAAAATATAAATCAATGTCTAATATTTATTGCACAATGTTAGATTACAGAAAACAAACATTTATTGACTAAATACAACTTTTTTCTTGCCTTAACCAACATCTTATCCGTAAATAAGTAGTGTTACCCAACGCAAGACCAAGACCAAGACCGCCTCGGTCTCGTCTTGGTCTTGCGCACTTAGTCTTGGTCTTGCGCAAGAGTCTTGCAGTTAACTATCAGCTTATTGCTATTTATTAATATGGTATTTTACATTTTAGAATAACGCTACAAAATAACTACAATTAGATGTTTTATAGACATAAAAATTGTAAAGTACAACTAAATAAAATTAAGAATAAAGAAAGATAGTGATAACCCTCCTCCAACCCTCCGATTATATGGAATGAAAGAGTTGTAGAGTAGAGACAATTTATATATTGTTCCCAATGATTTTAATTAAAAATCTATTGTGTTCACTTAAAAGACTTTCCTATATATTAAAAATAAATAAATAAAAAATACAACTTTAAATGTATCCAATAGATAAAAATATTAGATATTAAAAAATTAGATAAAGAAAAAAAATTGAAATAGATTCATTTTCCTGAAAACCGATCCGTGAAATCATTTGAGTAGGATTCATAAGATGAAACAAGCAATGTTCCGCCGCTAATGACCCGCTCGGGTAGATGCGGAATGTAACAATAAATAAAAATAAAACAAGCAATGTTAACAGGCAAGTGAACCACCATTAAAATCAACGTATAAAAACCAATATATACTATAACAGCTAAAACTTGTCTGATTCAGATGATCTTTGTGTCAACAATTTTCTCAGAAATTTAATGACCTTTCAAAAAAAAGGTTTCAAAATAGGCTCAGAAACCTTTAGATCCGTTAAAAACCGATAGGTGTATACGTGGGGAGGTAGCTCCCCAAAACAATATTCTTTTTTTTTACAACTTTTTTTCTTGAATTGTCTCAAGAATTCACTAAAAATACGAAAATTTAAGACTTTAAGTAGAAAATTAGAAGAAAGTTTCATTAAAATCGTTAGAGCCGTATAATGTTAATTTTAAAAAAATTAAAATTTGTATATATAAGGATAATTATATACAACTAAAGAACTAGGGCTACAAATAAATAAACAGAAGACTGTGTACACGCAAACGTCAAAAAAGCCATGTCGAACGCGTCGCAATTGGTAACCACACCTAAAAGTGGTCGAAAATTTTAAATATTTGGGAGCACCAATGAAATGGTGAAAGAATTAAAAGCAAGGATGACTGCCGGGAATAGGTGCTGTTTTACAATGCCAAATTTTTTTTTTTTTAGCTTATTTATTGAAAAATATTACAATCTGTCTCAGGGATATTTATTTAGTGTTCACAGATCACATTCTCACTCTATGTACAGTAAAAAAAAAAAATTATACAGAAAAATAATATATATACAATAAATAAGAATAAAATAACCTAAAACCCCAAAACAATTAAATTACAGATCTCTTTCTTACAGAACAAAGATCACGTTGTATGAGAAAGTCATCAGACCCGTCGTCACCTATGGCTCTGAGACTTGGGTGAACAGGGACAATGGAGAATTCGCACTAATAAAGAGCTGTATGAAATGTATGCGAGGTCGGAATTGGTCTCAATAGTGAGGAGAAATCAAATCAGATGGTCGGGCCATGTGGCGCGTTTGCCCCGAGACGCGATTCGGAATCGGAATCGATGACAACAGTGGCATCAAGACTTCCTATAGCAGGTATAAAGTTGGGCTCAAACGGTAACTGGAAAACTGGACATTTCAGGGCTTTAAACGGCACTTACTTAATCTTAAAAACTGTTAAAAATATAAAAAACTCATAAAGTTATTAATGTGCGTCCGATATTTATAAAACCTAAATAATATAAAATCATTTTAAATTTTATTAGGTTTATAATATTGTTCGCTATAGGGAGGTGTCTGCTAAGGAAGATTCACAATATATTAAGGTCCGCATCTTTCCACAATAATTGAAACTGGACGACGTCTATGGTTACAATATGACTACGAGCAGGATTTTGAAGTTAGATGTATGTTATTGAAATATAAACATAATATTGTACAAAAAGAGGTCGTTTAATCATCTTCCATTTTTACTTGGAAAATAACTGAATTTGACTTTCACCAAAGTACAATTACATTAGGAATCCTCATTTTCATGATCAATGAAAAGGTTGCGTTGGGATGTTGAACTTTATAGTCCGCGCTTCTAACAATATTTTACCAGTTTGAAGAAAAAGTAAACTCTATTGGCTCCTCCTCTTAAGTGACTCTCTAAACAGGGCTTGATTTAGGGAGAAACGTCTCGCTGGACTCCTGGCTGAGGGCCAGACGCCACTCCAGTCGATTCTATCAAAGAGCAAATAAAAAAACCGTTCTCAGAGCCACTTCTCATCCTCAGGCCTCTTCTTCCAATAATATCGGCACTTTATTAAATCCTCCTGCATAAAACAGGCATCAAGTCAAACTTGAATAACACAAGTTTTATCCCCTTGAATCTCCTACCTGATTATCAAAATTTCTTCCTTAATTCCCCACTCCGTAGTTCAATGATGGAAGCCTTTTTTCCCATTTCATATCTGCAACGAGATTGCGAAGAAAAACAAATTTTAAAATTTGGAAGTATAATAATATTACTTTCGTGTCATCCCTAGCAATGTTTTTATGTTTGATCACGGTAATTTGGCGTGAGCCAAATATTACACATTGACCTATAATTGATTAATAGTGGGCTGGTTATTGTAAGAATTGGTGTGGACTGTATGAGATTGGATCTCTGAAATTTAAGAAATGATTCCAAACATGATTATATTGCACATAATGGGAACAAACAAAAGAAATAAAATTTGTTCACTTGTTCAATTTTGTTGATTTTGAAATATGAAATAAATATTGCTGGTGGTGAAATTACAATTTCGGAGTATGGCATAGCCATGTTGGAAGTTATTTTGCTTCAGACTGAAATTTTATTGTTAATTTGGACTCGCTTTGTGTCTGAAATTAAGCTTCATTTCTTGGCCTCCTCTTTTTCCTCTCCATATTTCCTCCACCAGGCTGTTTCCTTGGGATTTAGCAACTCATTTTTTTTCTGTTTTAATTTCTGGTCAAATAAAATGAGAGTGTGCACACTTCACCAATGACTGGGATTAACTGTACAGGAGAACTTCACACCAAATAGAGGCCAATAAAATGGCGATGAAGTCCAGAATTATAGAATTGTTTTCTTCATTTGTTTTTTTTTTTTTATGTTTCAGGAGTTGATCCCTGAACGGGCATCATTCGTTCTCAATTATAGGTGAGGAAGGGGAACATAATATATATTGAAACCTCTCTCAGCGGGCACTTTTGTATAGCGGACAATTTCATAAACCCCATCAAATTTTAAATAGTATAATTTAATAGTGTTGAAGTCTTTTATACCGAACGTTCTTTAAAACGGAAGTGCATGGGGTATTAGTTAATATTATTGAAGCAATATAATTGAAGGCAATATATTGAAGGACCCCTTCACACCTGTCAATTGTATTAAGTCAATATTATTATGTCAGTTACGATTTTGCTTTCTCCAAAGAAACAAAATATGAATAACAGTGAATTTCATATTAACATAATTTTCTTGGTTATGGAATTAAAAATAGAGTTATATAATAAAAATATCTTGCCATTTTATTGTTATTATTTCCATATAACTAAACATTAATTATTTAACTATTGTTTATTTCCAATTACATTTTTATGGGGATGTATAGGATTGGAATATTTCTATATTCTATTTTAAATTTTATTTGCTCCAGATTCCAATCCTTCCATAATAAACTTCAGAACCATCCGAATCCTCTCGTCTCTAACCTTGCTTCCTCTTCTATTCCTGATAACCCTCCGAGGCGTCTGAAAAGAAGATGGCCTCGAGATCTCTTATTGTAAATACATTTTGTTTTTAGAGTGCTACCAGTGGGTAGTTTCTCAACAAGTCATTTCATGTTATTATTTTCTGTTATCAAATTTACTTAATATATTTAATTTTTTTAATACAGTTGTAAATATCATGAATAAATAAAAAAAAAAAAACATTATTTGCTGTATAATCAAACCTTAATATTTGTGTCATATGTAAAATTTATTTTGTCTCTCGAAATTAAAACGTTTCTCGTTTACTAATTGTTTAATATCTAAGAAATAGTATTTTTAAAAAAAGTTATTAAATATTGTATAAAATTTAACTAACGAAAAAAGTAATTTTAAAATAATTGAATGGCATAAAATATTTCTATTACAGTCTCCCTCTCTAAACGTGGAATATCGTACTTTTTCATAGCTTTTCAAGGTCTTAGATCTGTATATATGATTTAATATTAGCCAATATAGGCATTACTCGTGCAATTATATTGACACGAGATCCCAGCACCAAAACCTGTATATTCCTTCTCACAGAACCTTTTCATTTGAAAAATCCTGTATCATGCGTGCTACCTTGTTTTGGAATTCATTACCCACCCCTATACGCAAAACCTCATTATACGTAAAATTGCATTTAAATACAAATTTTGTTTCCAACTTTTAGCAATCAATCTTCCGAATATAAGTAAGAATTGAGTATTTGTATTTTAATGTTGCCAGCCTTATTTTAATGCTATTTAACAGTTATTATTTGTATTCCTTATCTGTGCAAATATGTTAACATACGGACATTTTGGATTTGTATTGGGTGATTTTATGGGCCTCAGCCGTAAGAAATATTTTACTTACTATAGAATTTTATAATTACAGAGACTTTTTTTTATATTTAAGCATTTGAACTTTATGAATTAGCATGATAAGGAAAATAATAGCGAAATAAGCTAAAATATATTTTGCATAAAAAAAAATATTTTATTAGTTTGGGCCCGGCCTGTGGCCTAAGGTTAATTGGCAGAGGAGAAGAACCCTATGGCCTCCTCATGATAGATGAGCCATTGTCTTTTCTACCCCCCGTCCTCCACCACGGCTAACAG